ACTGATTTCCTTGTTGCTGCCGTCGGTCCTTTCGCTTAATCATCCCTCTGTTAGGGATCCTTTCGCTTGCCTCTTCCCTCTTTCTGAAAGTCCCAAAGCTAACTGGACTTTCTTGTTTTTCCTTTGAAGACGTTTCCCTTCTCATCCCAGAAGCTTCTTCAGCTCCGACTGGATGGTGGAGGATGGAAGGATTTATACTCCTTGCAGAGAGCTGGTCATTTGCATCCTTTTAGAGGGTCGTTGAGGCCACTTGGTGGTTTACCTGTGTCCTCATGGGACTTCCTTATTATTCTTTGAAGACGTTTCCCTTCTCATCCCAGAAGCTTCTTCAGCTCTGACTGGAGGGTGGAGGATGGAAGGATTTATACTCCTTGCAGAGAGCTGGTCATTTGCATCCTTTTAGAGGGTCGTTGAGGCCACTTGGTGGTTTACCTGTGTCCTCATGGGACTTCCTTATTATTCTTTGAAGACGTTTTGCTTCTCATCCCAGAAGCTTCTTCAGCTCTGACTGGAGGGTGGAGGATGGAAGGATTTATACTCCTTGCAGAGAGCTGGTCATTTGCATCCTTTTAGAGAGTCGTTGAGGCCACTTGGTGGTTTACCTGTGTCCTCATGGGACTTTCTTATTATTCTTTGAAGACGTTTCCCTTCTCATCCCAGAAGCTTCTTCAGCTCTGACTGGATGGTGGAGGATGGAAGGATTTATACTCCTTGCAGAGAGCTGGTCATTTGCATCCTTTTAGAGGGTCGTTGAGGCCACTTGCTGGTTTACCTGTGTCCTCATGGGACTTTCTTATTATTCTTTGAAGACGTTTCCCTTCTCATCCCAGAAGCTTCTTCAGCTCTGACTGGAGGGTGGAGGATGGAAGGATTTATACTCCTTGCAGAGAGCTGGTCATTTGCATCCTTTTAGAGGGTCGTTGAGGCCACTTGGTGGTTTACCTGTGTCCTCATGGGACTTCCTTATTATTCTTTGAAGACATTTCCCTTATCATCCCAGAAGCTTCTTCAGCTCTGACTGGAGGGTGGAGGATGGAAGGATTTATACTCCTTGCAGAGAGCTGGTCATTTGCATCCTTTTAGAGGGTCGTTGAGGCCACTTGGTGGTTTACCTGTGTCCTCATGGGACTTCCTTATTATTCTTTGAAGACATTTCCCTTCTCATCCCAGAAGCTTCTTCAGCTCTGACTGGAGGGTGGAGGATGGAAGGATTTATACTCCTTGCAGAGAGCTGGTCATTTGCATCCTTTGAGAGAGTTGTTGAAGCCATTTGGAGGTTTTACCTGTGTCCTCATGGTCAGCTGAGTGGTGCAAATGGGTGTGGAGCCTTCTTGGCTGCAGCATTTTTTCTGCCCTGGGTCCCTTCCCTGTTGGGGATGATTCTGGGTTGTCCACATCAACAAACTGAAGCGCAAATGGTTCCTGGAGTCTGCAATGTTTTCTGGAAATCCGCCCATGCTCCCTCACCCTTCGAAGGGGGTTCATCCCAACGTGCATAGCTGAATGTCTATGGAGGTTCTCCATCCTCCAGGTCCGTGGTTGTCCCAAAGGTGCTTTTTTTCAAGAGGCAACTGGACTTCCTTGTTTTTTCTTTGAAGATGTTTCACTTCTCATCCAAGAAGCTTCTTCAGCTCTGACTAGACGCTGGGGATTTGAATGGGACAAAAGTCCCTGGGAGGACTCAATCAAAGTGTGGGGGAGATGATTCTTTCTTTAGGACAAGTGCAGCAAGGTTAATAGGTGGAAGCTTGTTAAAGAGAAATCGGTCCCTGGGTTTCAGGAGGTCAGGTCAGTCTGACCAAGATTGGGGAACAAAGGAGAGGAGGGGAGAGAGAGAGAGAGAGAGAGAGAGAGAGAGAGAGAGAGAGAGAGAGAGAGAGAGAGAGAGAGAGAGAGAGAGAGAGAGAGAGAGAGAGAGAGAGAGAGAGAGAGAGAGAGAGAGAGAGAGAGAGAGAGAGAGAGAGAGAGAGAGAGAGAGAGAGAGAGAGAGAGAGAGAGAGAGAGAGAGAGAGAGAGAGAGAGNAGAGAGAGAGAGAGAAAGAGAGAGAGAGAGAAAGAGAAAGAGAGAGAGAGAGAGACAGAAAGAGAGAAAGAGAAAGAGAGAGAAAGAAAGAGGAAGAGAGAAAGAGAAAGAGAGAGAGAGAATGAGAGAGAGAAAGAGAGAGAGAGACAGAAAGAGAGAGAGAGAAAAAGAGAGAAAAGACCTCACATTCACTTTTGTTCCTGCTATTTTTACCTCCCGTGATCTAAAGCAGATCGATCCAAGTCTTATCTGATTAAGAGGAGGCTTGGGGCAAAGAACAGGCCAGGGAAAACATAAGCAGAAGCTAACAAAGTTACAGGTCAACAAGCACATCCAGGAGGGTTTGTGAGCTGAGAATGCACAGAGGCAAAGGATTCTAGATCCAGGCAAGGCGAGAGCAAAAGGCAATGTTCATTCTTCCCATTTTTTTTAAAAAAACAAACAAACCCAAGAACAACGCAACACACCAACCTGGTCATAGAGAACCAAAGAGATACTTGGCATCACATCAATCCATCCAACGCAAGGCAAGGGATTGGTAATAGCAAAACTATGTTTAGTATAACTACTATAGCTACGGATACTATGATTACCACCATTTGCATCGGTGGGACGTTGACGTCCCACCCACCCACCCACCCAATTTTTGGTTAGGAAGGGAAGAGAAAGAAAGAGCTTGGATTATCAATGGAAATGCTGTTGAAGATAAACCTGTTGTGAGCATTTGTCTCTAATTTTAAATGACAATTGCCCGACTGCTGGATGCTTACATTTTACAATTAAGTCACAATACTTGTGATTCATCTTCCTTATGTAAAAGAAGATAAGCAGCCTGAAGTAATAAGTCTCTGGAGGAAAGAAAAGGGAAGAAGCATTCACAACTTCTGGAGGCTAGTTGTTCCATGGATTAATTGTTCTCACTGTCAGGAAATTTCTCCTTCGTTCTAGGTTGCTTCTCTCCTTGATTAATTTCCATCCATTGTTGCTTCTTACCCTGCCTTCAGGCGCTTTGGAGAATAGCTTGACTCCCTCTTCTTTGGGGCAGCCCCTAAGATATTGGAAGACTGCTATCATGTCCCCCCTGGTCCTTCTCTTTATTAAACTAGGCATACCCCAATTCCAGCAACTGTTCCTTATATGTTTTAGCCTCCAGTCTCCTAATCATCTTTGTTGCTCTTCTCTGTGCTCTTTCTAGAGTCTCAACATCTTTCTTATATTGGGGGGTGACCAAAAATGGATGCAGTATTCTGAGTGTGGTCTTATCCGTACTATTTTAAACATTTTGATTGACTTGATGTGCCTTACGCATCGTGCAGGCATCAAGTAAGCTTTGTCCAACATCTGACCGCTGAAATATATTTCGGGCGACTGGACATTCCCATTTGATGGCCCTAATTAGCAACAGTCGGCGATGTCTTTTGTCCTTTTGTGAAGCATCCGAAGCCTGATTCTCCCAGGAGTGTGAATTTCTTGGCCTCTAGGAATCACAGAACCATTTCCCCCCCATCAAGGGGGAAGGGACGGAAATTTATAATGAACAGCTAAATCTCTGGACCCCCATCTCTTGAACACTCCCAAGCATCCTGCAGCCATTGAGGACCGACAATCATTGCTAATCAAGCCTCGGGAATAAAAAAAGATCTGGTTAAGCAATTATCATCCCTGAAAAGGAAGGATAAAAGCAACTTTGATGCCCCTTCAAGGAGGCTGATTAGCATCTCAAAGGAGACGTCAATTCCTTCGGCTTTGCCAACTTTGGGGGCTCCCAGAGATTTTACCCTTTACTTTTCAGAGCCCAGCTTCCCCCCCCCCCCCGTAAAGATCCCACAGATAAGCTTCCACTGGTTCTAGGATTTAGAATGGGGAGGGGGGAGGGGAGGCTCTAATTACAAAGAAACCAGGAAGGATTGACCGTTCCCATCATCAAAGATGAAAGACAAAGAAGGCTTAAACCCGAGTTTAGAGTGTGAATAAACCCGAATCCGGGTGAAATTTAAGGCTGTTTATGCAGATGAGTCAAAAGGACTGGCCCACAAGAGGGTAGCAGACTTGGTAACAACAGCGTTATTGTGACCGCTGTGCACAAATACAACACAGAACATAGCATCATAGGATTGGAAGGGACTTTGGAGGTCTTCTAGTCCAACTCCCTGTTCAAGAAGGAGATCCTATGCCATTCTGGATAAATGGTTGTCTACTGTCTTCTTAAAAAATCCCAGTGTTGGAGCATTCACAACTTCTGGAGGCAAGTTGTTGCACTGGTTAATTGTTCTCACTGTCAGGAAGTTTCTCCTTAGTTCTAGGTTGCTTCTCTCCTTGATGAGTTTCCAACTGTTACTTCTTGTCCTGTCCTCAGGCACTTAGAAGAATAAGTTGACCCCCCTCTTCTATGTGAGAGTCCCTCAAGCACTGGAAGAAGACTGCTATCATGTCACCCCTAGTCTTTCTCTTCATTAGACCAGACATATCCAATTCCCTCAAACACGGTATGGTTTAGCCTCAAGACCCCTGATCATGTGTGTTCTGGGCTGGTTCGTAACTCATGGGAGCTATCTAGTCTACGTTCCTCGTCTACCCACAGTTCAGTCAGTTGAACTCACCGGCTTTATAGATACTTTTACACCAGTGCCTCTACAAAACAGTTAACACGGCGTCCACAAGGGCTAAAATTTGCCTGGAATCTCAAGTTATTCTGAGCGTTCTCACATCAAAGTCCTACCAGATCTCATGAGCCTGGCTGCCAAAGGCTCAGCTTTATTATCATTATTATTATTAAATAGATGGATTTATGTTTGTATTCACTGCTTGGAAAGAAAACACTAGCTCCACCAGAAGAGATGCTGATCTCTATCTCGTGTCAGGCCAGCTCAGATGGATTGTAACAGCGACCTTTCTCTCCGTCCCTTGACCGTTTCATCCTCCCCACAATCTGCCCCATGGTATTCACTGAGGGCGAAGGCACCCCAGCCAAGCTTACCTACGCAGTTGAACGATAACTCCCGGCGGCAAAAGAGGGAGCACCCGTCACGATTCACTTTGTTCATGTCGTCACACTCTTCCCCAAGGTCCCTGCCAACAGAAACAACCGTTTAGAACAAGCGGATTATTAAAATAAATTTTCAAGGGTGGGAGGATCTGGAGAGGAGACCTTAACGTCTTAAGAGGTTAAGCCAATTTCTTGCTTACTTTTTTTTTGGCTTTTGCTTTTCTATAAGATGCACCGAAAAGAGAATAGGGAGGGAGGGAGGGAAGGAAGGAAGGAAGAGATGGGGGGAGGGAGGGAGAAAGGAAGAAAGGAAGAGTAGGAGGGAGAGAGGGAGGGAGGGAGGGAGGGAAAGAAGAAAGAGA